AACTTCATATTCTTCACTAAAATAATATTTTTATCATATCAATAATTTTTTCTTTTTTTTTAATCACACATTTCCCATCATATCACTATTCAAAATCAATTCTTATCCAAAAAATCCCTACCAAACAAGCACTAATATGAAATGTTCTAAATAAATTCAAATTTTGTATATAAAAATAAGAAAAAATTAGGTCTGTGCTCCTCATCTTTTCAAGTGGTGTTAATGTGGTTATGCCAACCTTCAAACATGATGTTCTAGGTCCCCAACTTATTATAATTTATGAATATGGATTTCAAAGTGATTAAACCTATTAATGTAAACATTAAAATCGTACAAAATTTTCACGTTACTCAAATTTAAAGGGCAAACTTGTTTAACCTCATTATATTCCTCTCTAATTTAGTTGAAAATTGTGTGCGATTTAAAGGTCCATGTGGACATGCACGTTAACAATTTCTGTCATGTAGAGACTTAGATCCCCAATGTTAAATAGGTTGAGGTTAGGGTTCGATCCTTAAGAGTGGTCCCATTGGGATAGAAAAGAAACCTACTGATTTGGTGTCGCTCTGGAACCTTATTTTTTAAGGTTGAAGACTCGTAATCACACAATGTGAAATGTTAAAAAGTCAAGCCCTAATTAAATTATGTACATGTTTGATTTTATATTTTTTTTTGGTGGAAATATTTTGTTGGAACAACTCTTCTTTGTTCAAGAACTTTGTGAATTATTTTTGGTTTGAATATTTATTCATTATGAATAATATTCTTTATCTGTTGAAACTTTAGATTAGGTTGATTATGCAGTTTTTATTAACTATTATTAAATACACAAAAAATAAATTAATAATTTTTTACATAAGGTTTATATAGTTTCATTTTCTATTTTCTCAAATATAATGTTTCCGCAGGTTGGGTCGTGTCGTGTTGTGTCATGTCGTGTCACATTTTATTTTCCTTTTTCGTTTCCATTTTGGTTTATATAGAACCTAGGGCTGAAGAATGATCATTCCAGTAATTTAAAGCTAAATCATAATTTTACAACTAAAATGATTATGCAAATTATATAAATACTATTATAGATGGATGTATAAATCTAAGCATTTAAAATTTCAATATAAACCCTAGTAAAAAAATCTCCAAACCACCCAATTTTGTTTTTTCGATTTTCCAAGCGTGATGTAATCAAACCTTGAGCATTTAAAATTTCAATATAAAACCTAGTAAAAAAATCTCCAAAACCCCCAATTTTGTTTTTTCGATTTTCCAAGCGTGATGTAATCAAACCTTGGTTTTTTGAAAAAGAAAATGTTCATTCATTTTTCTATTTTCATGACTATTTTACTTATATTTTAATGTACAATTAATGTAAAGAAAATTACTTTTATATTTAATTAATAAAATCTTAAATAAAAATAGATAGCTTTATTATTTTCTCCAAATGTCACTATTTGTTAGTTATCGTTGTGCCGTAGCACCGCCCCCCCACCCACCCACCACCCCCCCTCCCCCCAATCGTAATGCCATATTAATGTGGCTCCACCGTTTGCACCAAGGATGACTTACTATTTGGACTAAATCATTAGGTCTTGTGGGTTTGAAGTTTTCCGGACAAGTTAACCGCATATCGTTTAAAATATTGAAAGACATCCCATCTCCAACCCAGTAACCCACCATCACGAGCCTTTTCATATTAGCACTCGCCCCATAAAATACACTTCGAAAGATAAGATGATCCTTTCTTGTCCGTCACAGAAGAGAAAAAAATTGTTCACATGCATTGGGCAGAACAAGACTGTCCACTTGCTGATGTGGTATGAAAACTTTATTTACGGTTCTCTCTAAATGTGAAAACCATAAGATTCTATTCAAAGTGGGTAAGATAAGACTTCCTACTATGAGTAAGAGAACAAAAGTGCCCAATAGAAATCCCAATTTGTCAAAATATTTATCTTAAAGAATCGTGTCCAGCTCAAATGCTTTCATCTTTCGATCCTACTACCCAAATTGGTTTCAACTGGGTTAAATGTACCCCCATTTTCTTTCGCATATCGAGTGGGATGATTTAATGCAACGAGTTCGCTTTGGTTTTAAAATAAAAAATTGTATTTAATTACTTTCAATGGTTTATTTAATTTTTGTTGAGGTACTGGAATTATTGTTCTATGCAAGAGATCAACCATCCAAATAAAATCTTTTTATGTTACAGTGGCCTCAACTGTGTTGTCTTCTTCAATGTATATGTTAACTACTTTCATCGTTTATTGTTTTATGAATGAAAAATTTGAGAGTTCCTCAATTATCCCAATTATACGGTGTTTTAGCGAATGAACCAATAATTTATGGACATATCCTCGTAGGGATGACAAAAAAGTTCGTCGGCCCGGAAAAAGCCCGAGCGTGCCCGCTAGGGCTATGTGGAACCGAGCCTAGGCTCCGGTTGAGCCCCATTGGGGGGGGAGGGAGGCGGGGTTGGCCCGAGCCGGCGGGCCTCGTGTCCTCACGGGTCGGCCCGTAATTAATAGTAAAAAATTTAAAAGCTGCCTACAGGCAGCTAAGGAAGAAAAGCAAATGAATAATAAATAAAAAATCGAGCTGGCTCGGGCCCGAAAAAAGCTCGGCCAAAAAAGCTCGAACTGAGACCGAGTTTTTTTTTTTTCCGGCTCGGCTCGTTGACATAGCTATATCCTCATCATTCAACTCAATAAACGAGTGTTTGATCAAGTACTAATCATATATTCTACTGCATCAATTTAGCATTAGATCACAACAACGTTCTTGATAGAGACGGGTTATTATTCGTAAAATCTAAATGGCGAAAATCATGTGATGCAATGAGTTAACACAACTACATCTACAAACGACAGTCAAAATAACTAATAGAGATGGTATAGTCGTGTTAACAAATTAACGAAGGTGTTAAATGAGCTAATAAACGATTTTTTTTTTCATGATGGTTTGATTGTCACATAGACCTTTATAATTTGGATTGCTCTCATGACCCGAAAATTCATATATATTTTTTAAATAAACATTATGTCTTACGCTAGTAACAATTAAGTGAACTAGAGAGTGACTAAGTAAAGATTTTAGATGCCCTTTTAACACACGTACCATGGTGTAACAATAGTCCCCTCCTAAGGGTAAAGTCAATTTTCACACTCAGTTAATTCACCCAAATAATTTCTTTTTAGCCTATGTGTCGAACTCGGTCGTGCCATAAGGGAAGAATCATTTATGGTTTACCAAACACGAATTATTAAAACTCATGTTCTTTTACTCGAGAAAAGAAAAATTGTCGAGCGACAATTTACATTAACATCAAGACTTGACAGTATAGTGAATTAAGGATCAACGGCTCGAGCCATCTCCAATTCTTCTTCGTCGTGACAAACATTCTTCTTGCTTTGCTTCAGCTCGCCGAAGAAATAGGAAACAATTCCCCATAGAGAGAGGAAAAGTGAAACGCCCTTTTGTGCTTGAAACTTTTCATGAAAGAAAATTACTGCTAATAATTCAGTGATCGGGAGTGACACTGTGATTATAATGCCAGATAGTAGAGACGAACCATAAAATACTACTCCACCTATGCCCAAGAAGAGACCTTGCAGACTTATGGCAGTACCAACTAGCACCAAATAATATTTTGTTTCTCCAAGTTCATATTGTTTTGCCTCCCTTGAAATTGCCTGTAAAACATGTACTATATTAACAAGTCCCAATCCGAGTTTATACGGGGGCGGAGTAAACGGAGATAATATATATTTTTTATACTAGGCTGATACATACATACACGTGTGTGTGTGTATATATATATATATATATACCTAAAAAATTTACCACCCCCCCTCCCTCCCTCCCTCCACCCCTAAGTTTATAGAGAAACTATTTATTTAGGCCATGTTTGTTTCAGATTAAAATCAGATTTTAATTAAAGTCAAACAATCAATATTAATCACACATTTCATGGGTCCCATGACTTTTCAACCACACATTTCAAAAACTTATATCACAATTTACTAAAAATCTAATTTTAATCCCCACCAAATACCAACTCAGTGACTATGTGCGGAAGCTACGAAATGGAACGAGTCGCAAAAATGGTGAAGGCGGAAAAGAATAAGTGTTTCTCTCTCCAAATGATATTAAAATGGCAAGAATAATTTCAATTTCAAATATATTACCACAATTAACGGGGATGGGGGACAAAATAAAGACATATAGTAAAAATAAATTTAGATTATTTTAAAATAAAAATACCTAATTTATGAATAAAAAAAAATACATGATTTTTTATAATGGAAACTTTAAAGCACGTTTTCCTCTAATTTTCTCATTCTAATATAATTTGGTTCGGGGCCGACACAGGCCATGGCCAACCGCTAGAAGTTCTCGCGTGACGGGGTATAGTACTGCCGACATAGTTATTAGATCCGACCCGAACATTGATTCAGTCAAGGTACTGGATCATCGAGTTACTGGTCGAACCGGAGAACCGGTGGTCGGACCGGTGGGTCATTACTTAAAAATTATCTAAAAAATTTTAAAGTATAATTTATTTATTTTTTCTTGAGGCAATTAAATTTTTCAAGTTATTTGTAACAAATTATTTTTATACATTTAAATTAATATTTTTTGAACTCATTTATTAGTGATAATGGTTACATTTTGATTTTATAATTTTGTATATTATATTTTCCCTTTTTGTGATGTACAAACCATTTATTAGTTATTGACCAATAATTTACGCGTATTATTTATTCAATTCGTTTTAGTTAAAATTAAAATTTTCAAACAAATAATTATTTGATATTACAAAATGAATGAAAATATTGGACTAATTGTATTAAAAATATTTTCAAAATACGACAAATTGTTCATAGGTTAAATATAGTTTATTATACAAAAGGGCAACAAAGTGTTCCTTGCATTGGTGATAAGGTTATATTCTAATTAGTTAGAGGTTAAGTGTTCAAATTTGTAGTCTCCTAAAATTTCAATGGAGAAAAGTTTTGAAATTTGGTTAACAAATCAACTGGGCTGACCGGCCCATAATTATATAAAACTGGCTAATTGACCCGGTCAAATTCGATTTTTGACCGGACCACTTGTATTTACATAGTATGAGCTTGCCCGGCCCGGAATAGGGCCCGGGTCACCGGTTTAGCTGGCCGACCAGCCGGGCCGGTCCGGTTTTTATAACACTGCTGTCCGGTTTATTCACGTAGGAAGATCCGGCCTCTGCCCCACGCAATGATTATGGGACGTTAGTCGAATTATAAAGCTCAACGCGTTATGGATAAATTAAGGGAAATCTATAATAAACCATCATTGCAATGTAGATTTTCAATCAAAATATTGGTTCCTTTCTTTATCAGTAAAGTAAATGCACAAGTAAAAGAAACCAGTAATGGATCAGTTTAGTTGGTTTCAATCTTGCTTTCTACGACTTACTAATTAATTTGATTTAATTACATGGTTTACTTTAATTATTTTAATTTTTTTAGTGAAGGACAGTAGTATCGACACCACCCTTTTAAACTTTATAGAATTTATGTACATATCAGACTTTTCATAAAAGAAATGAATTACGGATATGATATACACACGATAGGCTTTTTCGATCCATTATGCTAACTTTTTTGAGCCTGGCCCTCAAAGCCCCAAGTGCAATCAGGATTTTCTTTTTTGGACGTATTTGGTAGAGATTAAAATCGGATTAAAATTGAAAAATAACCGTTATGATTGACTTTTATTAAACAAGTGAGACCCAATAATGACTATATTTTCAATTTTAATTTGATTTTGAGTTGTACCAAACAAGCTCTTATTCTTAGTTTTCGGCCAAAGTCCCGATCTCACTAAGGTCAGGCCAGGCCCGTAGAATAGTATCTTAAGTTTAAACTTTTAGACGAGATTGAGAAAAAAACATAGAGAGAGCTAAAGAGAGGAACCTGGAAGTCCTTGTTAATGATCATCCCAACAGTGCAAAATGCAGTAGCAAAGAAAGCCATAACCATTTGAATCTCCATAACCAAAGTATATGTAACAACTTGCTTTGCCTTCAAGTACGTTAACTCCAAAAATGGTATGATGAAACCAGCCAAAGCTGTCCCTGCAAGCGTGAAGACAAACCCTAAAGCATAGTCTTTGTTCGACTCGCCCTCCGGTCTGTCACCGCTAGTATGAAGAGCCAAAACTGCTGCACCAACTGTCAGCAAAACGACGGCATTTATAGAATACGCCGTGAATTTTTGCTTAACGAGGAGGTAAGCAAAACCGGCCGTGAAAGCCAGCTGAGTAGCAACAATTAGAGAAGACGTCGACACCGGTATGCGTGCTATGCCATAGCTATAGGAATAGTCAACGAGGCCTGTTAGAATACCTGTTGAAGACCAAATTAAAATAAATTAATTGATGAGATTCTTCTCTAAAAGCTTAATTTTTTTTATGTATCAAAGCCGACATCTCATCGTTGATTGTTTATGAAATTGTGCACGCGACAGACTTTTAATAATAAAAATGAATCCATGCTACACGTGAAGGGGCTTGTTATATGACCAAATCGAGTTCATCGTGATATTGGTTCCCAAAAAATTGGATAGAAAATATATCAATTTGACGAAAAATCAAGCATTATCGATCGAAGTTGTCGATTTCTTAACATCTATCCCATTGAATTTGGTAAAGAATTTGAATCAAATTTAAAATATTTTAAAAAATAGAATTGTAACTGAAACTATGGTCAAATAAGTAATAAATATGACCTTTTTCTCATGTCTTATACTATTAGACTAGATGGTTAACAATACCCATAATTGTAGATGCAGCTAAAACCCAAGGTTTCATTACGAAAAGCTTGGTGGTGGCTGTGGCGTGGCCGTGGGCGGCACTCCGGCGGCGGTGCATGTAGGATACAAAGAGTGGGATGAGAGTAATTGGGAAGCCGGCAGTTTGTATCCAGCTTGACAACCAGACTCTTTTTCCTCCCCGGATGAAGTAGAGGCGGAGGATCAAAGGGCCACCACAGTTGCCTCCAGTTAGTAGGATACAGTTCAGAACGAGGAGAGTTTTCCTCCAGGTGGTGACAGGTTCCATTTTCTTTGTTTCAGCTCTAGAGAGAGAGGTATGTGTATTTGATTCCATTTCATCTGTTTCATTAATTACATTCGGTGGAAAATTAATAAATACAAACTAATCAAGTATTTATTACTAATGTAGTCAACGAGTTGATAATTATTTTCGTCAATCCACTCAATTTATGTTAGAAACTTAAACTTACTTTTCAACACTTTCGAGAGTGAAGTGTCGAGTCACTTGCGGAGTATGCTCTATCCAACTCCAACTTTTACCCACTCTTCACCACTCGGATCTAATATAGCGTGGCATTAGTAGATGACACTCCGACAAAATATGCATTAAGCCCCTGTTTGGTCCAACTAAAAATTTGAATTGTCAAAGTCAATAATTAATTTTAGAATTTTGTTACATGTACATCAGGGCTTACACTTTGGTGTACAAAATCTATTAAAAATCTAATTTTTATCTAAAACAAATAGGGACTAAATCCATGTTATAAAACTCGACATTTTTTTTTAATGTTGAATGTCAATTGATTGAGCCCATGTTTGGCCCTTATTAAATTTTAATTCATTTTTCTCTCTCATCTTATTAACCACACATTCTCTCAATAAATTAAAATTAGACATAAACACAAAATTTTTCCTTACTTTTTAACCACACATTCTTAAAAATATATTATTCCAAGATCAATTTTTTTTCAAATAATGGAGCTCAAACAAGGGTTGAGATAATCTCAACTCAGTCCAAATTTGTAAAGATGAACAACTATAAATTTAGAATCTGTTGACTTTTGAGAAATCAAAAAGAGCGTTTGAGATTCAAAAACTATTTTTCGACCCGTTAGTTAATTTTATAAAAGTGTTTCTTCTAGTTAGAAGATATTTCGGAAGAGGAAGTTTTTTTTTAAAAAAAATTAGTTTCCTATAACTAAGTAGCTTCTTTAGGTAAATGTTTTACAATAAGCATATGCAAAAACAGAAATTCTGTCAAATGGATCCTTAGTAGATTGACTCATATCATTAGAAAATTTCGTTGAATCACTCTACCAATAGAAGTTACATCCTCATTCATCTCGACCCTAAAGACACATCCTTGCTCAACATATCGACAGGCTTTTCCACATCTGAGATGGGGGCCAAAATCATCAACCCAACAGTAAGTACAAAACTAAAACAATCTTGTTGATCGAAGAGACCGTGAACCATAACGACTACAACTCAGAATAAGATTTAAGTTTTTTACCGAGACTGGTTTATAAAATGTTTTGGGCCTTCGATTTGTTGTCGAACTGATTGTATCCTTAGCTGCCATTTCTTTACATTTGGGACACATCAGCACAGTACCTCTTCTTAACAAATGGGAGACATGACAAACATAAGAGGACTCTGATCAAACTTCCGGCCTGAAATGCCTTACCAAAATCCTTGTTACTGTCATAGCATATACTCGCATGTAATGTGTCAAGGTATGAAAAAATTGTATTAGCATCCTCTCATTTAGTAAGAAGAAATATCATACACCAAGCTCTAAAAAATGTGACGGTGAGATAATCAAGGAGACGGCAAAGTTCATCTGGACTCCAATTATAACGCTACAAACCACTGTAGAATCATAAATGCAAGTAACCAAAAACATTCAAATATGGCGACTCATATACCATGGATGATGTACTCTGCTCGGTGCTTACATTATACGACAAAACAACCTATTAGTTTCTCCCAATCTCTATACAACAAACAAAGGAAAGGTGACCAGGTTCTTTCTTGCTAGGCGGAGGTTCAGAACACAGCCACAAGATGTGACTTGCAATCATCTTCATTGGATCCACTAACGTCCACCCATACTTCATTAACACGCCCAATAAACTTCAACGGGGAATTATACTGCGCAATTGAGTAGGCATATCCACTGTCAGTAGAGGTTGAGTTTGCCCATGGAGACTTGCTCAAGCTTGAGGCCAGTTTCTCAGCCTCCTTCACAATGTTACGATCCCTTGCAAATCCTGAGAATTTCCTGATGGCAATGCAGTGGCTCTTCCATGATTCGGGTCTAAGGTTCAGTTCAGGAAGTGGGAGAGGCGGGATGGCTGAGAATTTCGTTGGCAAGTAAAATTTGACAAAGTATGCTGACGAGTGGAGAGGTCCAGCTCCGGGGACGATGCTTGTCAAGACGGGAACAGTCATCGATATCCGGGAAAAATTCAAGTTTGCCCCTTCTATGTATTGGAATAATCTGAAAAGAACAGAATTCAATGTAGTTAGAAACTTTTCAAGTAACCGGATTGTTGCACCTTCTCCTGATTATTCACTCGCTTTTTTTTAATGAGATCAAAATATCAAACTTATTGGCTCTGTAAAAATGGAACTTATTCACACCAAGTCAGCATAGATTTTCTTCTCAACGGCCCACTAATTGACTCTTCTGAAGGCTGAAGCCTTGATACAAGACCGATAAAAAAGGTAAGACAGTCTTGTTTTATCATTGTCTATGTTAATTGTATAATATGGCATTTTGAAGTTTTTTCTTAGTGAATTAGCTAAGCAAACCACTTAGATTAAGCAGGAACCAATTTCTCGAGAGTAACACAATGAACTTTATAAGAGGATTCTGAACAGTCCCAATGGAAAATTGTATTTGATCCATCTGATTATGAAAAGTTTATTCCTAATGCGATTCAAAAGTTTTTACCAAACTACAAGCAAAACAGAGTTTTGACCACGCTTGTGATCATATTTTCTCGATTTCAAATAACAGAACTAATAATTGAGGAAGAAAACTTGCATCGTTTTGCCAAATACAATTTTGAGTGTTAATAATATAGTTCAAAGCAGACCACAGCTATGGTAACTAATGCTTATTCTTAATGTTGAAAGAACAAAAGATTTAGAAATTTGCCACATTTTTCACATTGAGAAAGGTAATCACTAAAATTTGAGTTATGCAGGAAGTGTAAAAATATATATTATTCCTTGTTTTAATTGTAAATGAAAACTAATAAAAGATAACTGGAATTTCCAAACGGTCTATAAACCTCCTTTCTACCCTAAGATTCTTAAAATGGAAAATAGCACAAGCAATTCACCAACCTTTACATGACCGAGCACCTGAACCCACAACTTTCCATTTTTGTAGACTTTGCCCCCCACTGACCAAGAATGCCCAATATGTCATCAATTTAAGCAGCACATAAATAATTCGAAGAAGAAGAACAAAAGCAAAGAATGTGAAATAAGTCAAAAAATGTTGGGAGAAAAAAATACCGGCATAATTTTAGGTTCATCAAACTTTCAATACATGGACACTGAAATGAACAAATTTAGATTGCTTGACGAAGTGGTACCATAAACCAAATAAAATGTAAATATAAAAGTATAGAGTGATTTGACTTTAGTGACAATGATATAAAAGAGGTCGACCAAAACTAACAAGGTTTGTCGTAATCACTAAGAATTTAGTATTTTGAATCTTTGAGTAAAGCTACTAATGGACCTGATGGAGTTCCCTAGCCCTTTCTTAGCTTTGTAGCCCCATCATCTTCCACTTGAGGTTTCTTTGGAGATTTCTCTTCCCTATGAAAGATTCATGCTAACCTATATGCATTATTACATTTTTAAGATTAGTGTGTTATTTTTTATTTATTCTTAGTTTAATTACGCCCCATTAAACTTTAATCCTGGCTCCAACGCTACTTCAAAGATTATGTCATGTAAGAGGCCAGTGATGATTCAGCCCATATACACAGAATCCCTTGGTCAGCTACAAAAATTGAAATTTGGGGGGACCAATGTACTTGTCCATGTAAAAGGTTGAGTACCCAATTTTCTCTTCTTCCAACTTACCAGGCAAAAGCAAAAAGATCAAGTAAGAAATTGCATAATCCGAACATTATAATCATAGTGAAGGAACAAGTAAGAATCTCAAAATCAAACACAGTAAACTTGTAATCAAAATCTCACAATTTAAATCAGTTTCAACTATTTCTTGGTGACCAAACAAAAAATTAGAAAACCCATTGAATCCAACGCCAATTCTAATATAAAATAGAAGAAAAAGATTGAAAAGGGTACCTGTGGAATCCGTCTCTGGTGGCTTTCACAAAGGAGATTTCATCAGTCGGTGCAGTCATCCAAGTTGAGTCTCTGTAAAATCTGACCTCAAAATCTGATTCTTTGTGCACCACAGTGTACTGTGGTGATTCATACGTTTTGCACTGAACTATTCTAGTGGTGGACGTCACTGTGAAAATCGTTATTATTCCCAGAAACAAGAATTTTGGGTTCTCCATTTCCTGTTAGGGGTATCGATGATCAAGTCAAAGGATAAATGGGGTTTTATTCTTGAGCAATGTGCAGTGGTGAGCTTTACAATGTCGTCGAATGTAAATCCGTGAAACGTGCTTTGGTGGAGACTTGCGACTTTACTCGAGACTTTAACTTTTTATAATTTTGATGAAATGATTATTTTCTATAACTTATTTCAACTTTTTCTCTCTGTCGTATTTTGATAAGTACAGCCCACAATTAATACAATTCATATCACTATTGAAGATGATCGAACTCCTTCCTTTCTATTGTGTCCAATAACTAAAAGATAGCGATAGATCGAGACGAACCAATCGATTAGAGTAAGTTGGACAAAATAAAATTATAATCTCCCCCTCTTCGTTGTGTCTAATAGTTATGGATGGGATGGTAATGGGTCGAGTTGAGCAGGCATGTTAGTGATAATTGGAATAATTGAACTCATAGTGCCTCCCTTTTTTTTTATTTTTGGCTCAATTGTTAGGGGTTATAATGGTTGGACACCTGGGCGGGCATGATTTGGCCAATGTGCTCTCTTCATGATGAGCCAAGCCAACTCGACTTGAATTTTTTTATTTATAGACAAAATTTGAAAAAATAAAAAAGTTAAATATAGTATACAAAACATGAAAATCGAGTGTAATCAAATGAGGAAATAAGAAACATGGAATGAACTCGTGGTGAAACAAGTTGAGCTGCTTAGAAGGCGTGTCA